ATGATTGTTGGGCTTTTCTCTGTATCTATGAAGCGCCTTGAGGCGACATTTGTTGTGATTTGGCGCTATATAAATAAAATTGAATTGAATTGAATTGAAATATATCTGTGGAAAAATAGTAACAACCACAGTTAAAACATCAGTTTATGCATTAATTAAAAGTATTAATCTAATTTATAAGGACTGGGAAAGATATGATTAACAGCATAATCACCCAAACCAACAAGAACCATCATGTTTTGATTCAAATCTTGCTGAGTGCTGGAAACAAATTACAAAATAACCTATTTTGGTAAATAACCAAAACGAAGCAAACTATAGCAGGTTACCATGTGTTTCCAAAGATGCTCTGACTAACAAAATTAATTTTATGGCTTGTAATGTAATTTTCCTTAATATTTCCTACCATGTCATTTTTTTCAGCAATTCACCTCAGGACAGAAATCTGTACTTCTTCTCTGAGTTAGAGTAAAAGCTGAAAATCCTGCACTGTGCACCAGCCGGTCTCTAAAACTATTGCTGACAAAAGTCTCTGAAATGCCCAGTTACAGAGAAACCCACTGTGAACCCATTGAGGTACTGTAATGTCTGCGGTTGAAGACAGACCATGAAAAAGCCACAAATAGGCCCCGGTAGTTCCTGCTCAAACAGTGGGTGTAATTCGCACTCTGCCTGCCTCGATCTCGGCTGGGAAGAAGGACCAAGGCCGGGGCCTCTTCCAGTAAAATGTTGCTGGTCTATTTGGGGCAGTGTTTGCATGATTTTTGGCGTGGTTGGGTGGTGATATGTGGACTGCAAGGTCTGCCGCTGGCTGAACTACAACTAAAGATAAGAGTGTGAAATCTTTAATCATGGAAAGAAAATGTTTTCAGTGGCATCTTTTAATCTGAGGCACCAGAGGAAATATGGGGCTGGCACCACATCCGGTCCGGCACACAAACACAGTTACCACTTGAATCATGGGGGCAGAACTGATAGCTCCCAAGATATCAGAGGGAGGACAAAGGAACAAACTTTAGTCTCATGTTATCTTAAAAGGAACACAGCTTCCTAATGTGGAGAAGGTGACACCTACTGGTTGCCACACTGAAACAACAAACAGCTTTAACAAGCATTCATTTCCATCTGCACTAATGATTTTCCACTAACTCACAGCACAGTTAACCCGTCGCTGATGCTCTAATTGTCTTTTAGCCTCCATGTGTCGATTTTGCAGTGGTGCTATAGACTTTCCTCTCTAAATAACTCACATTGCTGCCACATGTAGATTTAGGTGTGGCAGGCATTTAATTATGTCTGTGGAATTCATGCAGTGTTTCATTATTTTGTGTATGTGGTCTTTTTAGATACGAGGGGGCGTTTTGGGGATTTTGTGAGTGCACAGACGTGTAAGGGCTTGCTGTGTTTCTTTTTGCATTCCTGAGTGGGATTTATATCAAGTTAATACACCCTGTTGCTGATGATATTGTGACTTTTTTACATTTAGAAATACTCTGAGGGCTTCTTTTTATAGACTAACCTCCAACTCCGATCTTGATTAATAAAACTGGATGATAAATCAAACAGTTATGTATAGCCACAGCGCCAGAGCCACTTTGGATTTAAAATTACAAGACTGAGTTTATAAACAGTCCAGTTACTGACAATGCCATATAGACTGGGATTTTTTTTGGTCAGCTTGTGTAACTCCTTTCAATGTCTCAACCGGTATTTTTGATGGATTGACATGAATGTTGCTCATGTCCTAGTTGCTACACCCATCTTTCATATCATGTTCCTTTTTCAGTGGTCTTAAATGCACATACTAAAAACTACGTTTCCATAAAGCTATGTTTTATGAAAATGGCGATAGACTGGTCCATTAGCTTTTCTTAACCCTTATAATTATCATAGCATATGTATGCATGTCTGTTTGAAAATTCTCCTAGACACGTTACACAGTCTGGATGGAACTTTTTACCAGGATTATAAAAATCTATTTAGCTTCTGGGAACTATGTTTATAATTCTCAAATCCTAATAGATCATCAGCTGATGTCAAAATGAGCAAATGTTACGTATACGTGTACCTTGTTGTCATTACCTGTACGTGTATATGTATGTGTTTTTATATAGATTTTGCAAACTTTTTTTAGGCCAGTGAAATGTGTTGCTTTCCAATACCTGTAAATAAGCATTTGTCAAACAGTGACACTAATAGTGCCTGTCACTGACTACTTTGTCTTATACAATATGAAACTTGCAAAGAAGAACAATAAGTGCATGTTTTTATTATTAATTTGCTTGGTGTTGTGAGTTTTTGCATTCTCACTTCATACAGAGATATAATGAAGATAAAAATTATAACATGATAAACTGACATACACACCTGTGTTTTCATGCATGATCTAAGTGAACAAGTGCTGCAGGCCTGGAAAAAAACACCAATAGGGTGGGTTTGGGCCTTAGTGTGGTTGGTTTCTTGATAGTGGTTTAAAACCGATGGAAAACTTAATGAGTGACTAATGGACCCTAGAAACCTGATGTTGCCCTCATCAACCTGAAAAAGTCTCTTTACTAATGAAATCTAAACAACATCCTACCAGGAAAAGGCGGTTACAGTCTGAACAGGACATGCAAGGCTGTCAAGGAAGAATTGTGTGATAGATTTTGAAGTGGAAAATTAAACACTGTGGAAATTTTCCGGTGGTCTGGGGACAAAGGTGCAGGCATGGCAAATAACTTTGTGTGTCTGTCTCTTTCTATCCAGACTGATTTGGAGTCTGGCGTCACCGCTGCTTTGATGAAGGTCCAGTGAAGCTCTGAGCCTGACCTAGCTGCTCAGCACCGTGCCCTTCAGTTCAGTATTCAGAGGAAGGAGGAAGGGAACAGAGCTGAGCCAACACTGGGCTGAGCTGAGAGGGTACTGCTAGTGTGGACACCAATTTACTACAAAGTAAACAAAACTAAAACCACATTATTTAATGCTAGTTATTATACTTACAGTAGAGCACTGGAGATGATTGTTGATGAAACCCTTTTATATAAAAGATAGCAAGGCTGAGAGATGCAGAAGTAGATGTGGCAAAATGGAGCTCCAGTGGTGAGATTAAACAGTGCTTCCTCTCTTAAGAAGTCGTTGTAGTGTCTGTACATGTGTGTGTTTGTATGTGTGTTTTAGTTATTCTCTGATGTCAGAAAATGGTGTGATAAGTTATATATTTTTTCAATTTTCAGTAGCTATATGATTGCATGGAGTGTCATGTAAATTTACAGTTGTGGTCAGAAGTTTACAAACACTCATCGAGGGTATGAATGTCATGGTTATTTGAGGATTTTTAATGATTTCTTTGAACTTTACTTTTTCCAGGGTGGAATGATTGTGCAATATAAATCTTTAATGACTTCAAAAAACAAGACTTGAGTGAACAAGTTTGAACTGATTTTGGATTTTCTTTAATCCAAACAGGGTCCAAATTACACATAAAGCTTGAAACACCACACTAACATTTGGTTAAGTGTTCTTTAGCAAGTTGCACTTTAGCCAGATGTACTTGGTAGTCATCAAGAAGCAAAAACCGCTCTTGTTGCCAAAATTTGTAGACTTCATTTAAGTTGGTTGGTTAGCTGACACAGACCTGGCTTTAAAGTTTTGTTCACAAATTTTCAGTATGGTTGAGGTTTAAGAAGACCATTCCAACAGCTTCTTGTCAGCCCGTTTATACCTTCCAAAACCAGTTTTGATGTGTGTTTCATTGTCCTGTTGGAGCACTCAGTTGTGTTGTCAGCCAACTAGATGTTGATTTGAGGTGAAGTTGCAGAATTTGGAGGTAGTGATTCTCATTCATTATTACATTTACTCTGTGGAATGCCCCCAGTACCACTGGCTGCAAAACAGTCTCCATGCCTTGTGTCATTGTGGCTAGACAGCTCAATCTTTGTCTCATCTGACCATGAAACTCTTCTCCAGAAGGCATTTGTTCCGTGCGGCTGCTACAAATTTTAGTCGAGCTTGAAGGTGTCAGTTTTGGAGCAGAGTTGGCATCTCAGTCCATGGTGATGTAAAACTGGCCTCACTGTGGACAGTGTTGCTGGTGTTCCAGTAGTTTCCAGCTCATGGCACGCTTGAGCCTTGATGTTCCTGAACATCCTAAGCAAATTCCTCAAATCTGATGGTGACACTTTTGGTCTTTTTCCAGATCTTGGCAAAGTGGTGATGCATCTGAATACCTTGTACTTACTTGTTTGAACAGTCTGCAGTTGTTTAAAAATGGCTTCAAGAGACCTTCCCAACTTGTAGATATCTACAATTCTCCTACTTAGAACTTCTCAATTTTTACAATATTGGTAAATCCAATGAGTGCTGAAAAAACAAATCCTTTTTTTGCTAGCAATTGAAATGACCAGTTGTAGTCAATTATGATGACTAGTGAGACGTTAACAGGCTTTGCTCTTGTCAAGTTAAAGACAATGTAAAACCTTTAGCGCCACTTATTCAAAGATTTAAATAAGGAAATGTATGTATGTGAGTCTGTATGCATGTTTGAGCCTGTGTGGATTAGAGAAAATCCAAGATAAGTTCAAACTTATGGAATCCTGTACAATCATTCTGCCCTGGAAAAAGAACAGTTCAAAGAAATCATTGGAAGCCCAAAATTACTATGACATTCATGTCATTCATGAGTGTTTGTAAACATCTGACCACAACTGTAACTACATTTTTTCTATCATGTTTGGAATTGTGATAATATAGTAGATAATAACATGTTGTTATATATATATATATATAT